CAGTGGTCTTCTGGCAGTATAGTGAAGAGAGTTAGTTTCTTTACAGATATTACCAGTGGTCTTCTGGCAGTATAGTGAAGAGAGTTAGTTTCTTTACAGATATTACCAGTGGTCTTCTGGCAGTATAGTGAAGAGAGTTAGTTTCTTTACAGATATTACCAGTGGTCTTCTGGCAGTATAGTGAAGAGAGTTAGTTTCTTTACAGATATTACCAGTGGTTTTCTGGCAGTATAGTGAAGATAGTTAGTTTATTTACAGATATTACCAGTGGTCTTTTGGCAGCATAGTGTCCTAATGATCTCCCACCTTTTCCATCTTCAAGTTACACCAGACTCATTATTTCTCATTATCGATGAAGACCTTCCACGGTTGTCATTTTTACCTTCCTTGTGAAGAGGAAATAGGCTTCTCCGGCAAGCTTGTCAGCTCCCATTTGTGACACATACATCAAGGTGATGGTCTTACCATCTGTGACACATACATCCAGGTGATGGTCTTACCATCTATAGCACATACATCAAGGTGATGGTCTTACCATCTGTGAAACATACATCCAGGTGATGGTCTTACCATCTATAGCACATACATCAAGGTGATGGTCTTACCATCTGTGACACATACATCCAGGCGATGGTCTCACAATCTGTGACACATACAACTAGGTGATGGTCTTACCATCTGTGACACATATATCAAGGTGATGGTCTTGCCATCTGTGACACATACATCAAGGTGATGGTCTTACCATCTATGACACATACATCCAGGTGATGGTCTTGCCATCTGTGACACATACATCAAGGTGATGGTCTTACCATCTGTGACACATACATCAAGATGATGGTCTTACCATCTGTGACACATACATCCAGGTGATGGTCTTACCATCTATGACACATACATCAAGGTGATGGTCTTACCATCTGTGACACATACATCAAGGTGATGGTCTTACCATCTGTGACACATACATCAAGGTGATGGTCTTACCATCTGTGACACATACATCAAGGTGATGGTCTCACAATCTGTGACACATACATCTAGGTGATGGTCTTACCATCTAGTTGCTTTGCTTCCTTCCATCCATCTAATGGCTTCCACCTGCATCTTTGTGCTGCTTGTGGGAAAATCCATCAGATTTATGCCGAATGTTGTTATATAAATCTCCAACTAGTTCTCACTTGTTATTGTGCTGTGAGAACCATCTGTGGCTATGATGACAGGTGACTGTCAGCCATTTGTGGATATGATGACTGGTGACTGCCCACCATCTGTGAGTCTGATGACTTGTGACTGTCCACCATCTATGACTATGATGACTGTTGACTGTCCACCATCTGTGGCTCTGATGACTTGTGACTGTCTACCATCTGTGACTCTGATGATAAGTGACTGTCAGCCATTTGTGGCTATGATGACTTGTGACTGTCTACCATCTGTGACTCTGATGATAAGTGACTGTCCATCATCTATAGCTATGATGACAGGTGACTGTCAGCCATTTATGGCTATGATGACTGGTGACTGTCAGCCATTTGTGACTATGATGACTAGTGACTGTCCACCATCTATGGCTATGATGACAGGTAACTGTCAGCTATCTGTGGCTATGATGACTCTACGCCCAAACAGTAACATATGTAGTAGTAATTTATCTCAGATGCCACACACTCTTCCAAAGTTTCATTGTTGGAGGTGTTTAATGGGTTTTCATTGGTCACCAGATGTTTTTAGGAACGACTATGTTAAGTTTTGCTTACACGTGGTTATACATCAGTCATAACTACCAGTACTTGGTAAAGATAAAATAACTATAAAGAACTGTAGTAATAACTGAAAATGGTAAAGATAATATAAATAAATCAACTGCAGTAATAACTGAAAATGGTAAAGATAAT